ATCAGGAAGCTTCGCCCTCGCCCTGCTCGCTAGTGATCCTGGCGGCCTGGAGCCCGCTCCCTATTGGTCCGCTCGGAGGCCCCGCCTCCACGGCGTGCCCCGGAGCCCCGCGAACGCGGGGCAGGTGTGGGCCCCTGTGAGCCGAGAGCGTTCTGCGCGAATGTAGCCCCGGGCCGGTGCGGAGCAGCCCACCGGCGTGGTGGGCGGAGACTCCCCCTACCGCCGCTGACTCCCAGAGAGCAGGAACCAGGTCACATGTACGCACTGAGTCCAGCATATTTTTATTGAGCATTGATGGGGCCAAGGATCCTCCACCGTCACAATTCGTAAGGGCCTTTTAACACCAGAACCCCAACATTGTTTTACAAATGAGGAAGCCGAGACCCAAAGCTGGGGCCAAACCAGGCTCCAGCCTCCCAGGTTCGGGAGCACTGCTCTGTTCTTGCACCACGTAGCCTCCTCTGACTCATTTTAGGTTAAAGAACGTTCTTTGAACACCTATTGAGTGCCAGGGAAACCCACAAAGCCCAGCCAGGAACCTGGCACATTGAATGCTTTTGAAGAAAAGAAACGCCAGTGCACAGCGATTGCTCCTTCTGTTACCGGTATTTACACAGGGCGTTTAGCATTAGAAAGGCCTAGAAACTCAGCCCTGAGGCATCCCCAAGGAAACACCTGAAACTAGCACTTGCAGCTGAGGGTTAAGCTCTCAGCAGTGACACTAGCACCACATCCTGTCTGAGCTCCTGCTGACAGCTCAGCCCTGGCTTGTGGGGCCCCTGGAAGGGTTGGGGATGGCAGAGCAGACAAGCAGAATCCACAGAAGGGAAGGGTGGCACTGCTCCCATGCCCAAGGGAGCTTGGCTGAGCTGTCACTGACGTGTATACACTCATTCTCACCCCCGAGATGATGGCAATGTTTCCATCTGCCCTAACTCTGTTCATGACTTGAGGAGAGGTATGAGGATCAGAGGGGGCAGGGGGAAGTGGCACAACCAGGAACCCAGGCAACTGGAAGCAGGCCTGAATGCTGCCACTTCACATGGTGCCAGGCAAATACGACAACAATCAGAATAGCTGAGGACCCACCACTCCAGCATCAAAATCACCCAAACCAAGGGCTGGTCTGTAGGTAGCACCCAAAGTGGAATGACTTAAGAGGCACAAGAAGCTAGCTGCCCTCAGGACTCTCCGTGAGACCTGATGCTATTGCCCGAAGGTCCACAGTTCAAGCCTCACTGCTTTGGTAAGAATCTTTTCCACTGAGGTACAAAGGGCTCCTGGGGGATCCGGCCCAAAGGGAAAGTCTTACCTCTCTCTGCACCCCCGGGACCTTCCACTCCTCCAGAAAATAAAAGTCCTTCCCGAGTGGTTCTGACTGGGAAAGGGGCTGGAGATCAACATGGAAGAGAAAGGGGGCACTGAACTTGGAAGGAAGGACAAAACCAGGCTTCCTGTTTGTCCATTGCCTCTAAATCTAGCATGACCCTAACAAAGCTAAGGTGAGGTAGAAAGCACTGGGATCATTACCACCTCTGAAAGACAAGGAGTGTGAGGCTGGAGGTGGTTAAAAGATTCACCTAGATCTCCTGGCCTAACTCTGCCATGAGCCCCAAGTTCTTGAAGACAGCCCCCTCCTTTAATGTGACAAATCTGGCCTGGCAACCCCACAGTCCAGGTTGGCTGACCAGCTTCCCCTACACCAGGACCTTCCTCTTAGGGAGGAATGTCCTGGGCCTGCTGTGCTTCTGATCCCCTCTGCCCTCCAGGTGTCAGATGGGGTCCAGTCCATGGAGCATGCACACCCAGGAACACTGCGACCTTGTGGGAAATGTCACCCACTCCAGGCTTCAGTCCCCCTGCCACTTCAGCTGATATCCAGTCAATTATGGATGTGAATTCCCACCGGGGGAATGACTAGAAATATTGGGAATCACTCTGGGCCAAGGAATATGCCTGGGAAGACACCTGGTTTCCAGGGCGGCAGCCAAGGCATCCCCATCAACACCAGGCTGGTCTGGACAGCCGCTCTGCCATCCCCACACACAAGGAGGTGGCAGGATAATACCCTCCCGCCCCCCACAGTTCTTGGTCCCCTTTGCAACCACACACAATACTTACAAAAGCATTTAGAAAAGCTCCATTAAAAGAAAAAAAAGTTTCAAAATAACAGTTTCAGATTTCCAGTACCTATTCTGCAGGCTGTCTGTCCACTCTTATTTCTCATGTTGACAGAAGCGAAGACCTCCGTCTACAAAATCAAGCCCCAGACCCTGGATGTCTCTCTCACCCTCTACTGGAAAGGCCACAGCCTCTGGTCCTCTTGCCTGTCTGTGGTGCCTGACAAAGGCCCCCACCAAAGCTTGGCATCCTCTAAGCTTTAATGGATCCTTTATAAGTCAGGAATGTAGAAAAGGCAGCAAAGAGTGACAAGCTTAGGAAACAGGAAATTGAGGCATCTGGTCACATACACACACACTTGTCACCAAAAAGGCCACTGCTTCCCATTTGAATGGAAAAAAAAAAATCTCTCTAAAGCCATCCCAGAATGAGGAACCAGCATCAGGCACAAGTGGAAAGCCCTGCAGGTGTAGAGGAGGCCCTGACCCGGTGCCCCAGGAGAGCTGGAGGGTGGCCCCCGCTGGCCCCGGCCTGGTCAGCCCTCCTCGGAGCGGCTGGGCCGGGGCAGGGGTGGGCTCCCGGGTCGGGCGGAGAGAGCAGGAAAGTGCGGGCCCACATGGCCTCGGGCGTGAGTCTGCATGTGGACAGCCAGGTGGTGGTTCCGGTTGAAGGCCCGGCCGCACTGAGGGCACTGGTAGGGCCGCTCGCCGGTGTGGATGCGCTGGTGCCGGAAGAGGTCCGAGGGCCGGCGGAAGGCTTTGCCGCAGTAGGGGCAGGCGGGCCAGCCCTGGCTGTTGCCCGTGTGCTGGCGCTGGTGCAGCAGCAGGCTCTTCCGCTGCGGGAAGAAGCGCAGGCACTCGCTGCAGTGGTAGACCTTGGCGGCCGCCGGCCTCCGCCCCAGGAAGGCATGGCGGCCCTCGGGCTCCTCGGGGAGCCAGCGGATGACCGGCCCGGGCACCACCACCTCCCCCGGCTCCAGTGCCGAGTGGGCTTCCCCCCACCCTGTCGGCGAGCCGACCCGGGCCTCCCGGTGCTCCTCCTCCACGTGGGTCCGCTGGTGGATGGTCAGGTTAATCTTCAAGCGGAAGCTCTGGCCGCAATCGGGACAGGGGAAGGCCCGCTCTCGCCGGCGAGGGAGGATGCGGGGCGGCTCACCCACCGCCCCTGGTGGCCGAGGGTCCCCTGCCCGCACCCTGGGCACTCCCCCAGCGTGGAGCCGGCCGGAACCCCCAGTCCTGCTCCTGGGCCCTTTGGGGATTCTGCACTCGGTCTGGCTTGGGGTCTCTCCTAGGAAGAGCTGCCCAGACACCATCTGGCCCTCAGATGGTGCCTCTGTCTTGACGATCACATCACCGCTGTCACCTGGCGAAAAGAATCTGCATTGATTTCCAGCGGGCCTCACCGCCCCTGCAGGGCCACAGAGCCAGTCCTGGCCTCCAGGCAGGGCTCCAGCCACACCAGTCCCGCCAGCCCCTGCCTTCACAGACCCCTTTCTCCCCTGAGTGCTCCAGCGCTGGGTACGGGTCCTGCTCACTCGCCCCACCTAGCAGGCACTGCCTCCTAACACATCCGGTCTCACGCTGTCACACAGCCCAGAGGCTCTGATGGCCCACTCCCGGAGGCAGCTAAGGCCGTCAAGAGAGAGGAAACAGCTCTGCTCAACCAGGAGCCAGGGAGCTGGGGGGCAGGGGGCAGACCAGGGGAGACAAAGTGAGGCCTATATCCTGGCCTGAGACACACTGGCCATGCAGGACCCTCAGATTTAGTTCCGATCTATGAATGGCAATGAGCCCTGAGGACTCTGACTGCCCCCAGACTAGGTAAGAGGTGTCAGGCCTGGGGGTGATGGGTGACTCCACCAGCTCAGAGCTTACCCAGCCACATAACAAATCCACACTGAGCATCCACCACCTGCCTAGTCCCATGCTCTCAGGTGACAGAAAGCAGGCATGAGGACCTGGGTTTCCTGGCTGGGCCTCAGTGTGGGTCACACTTGACTCTGAGGTGGGACTGAGGCAGCAAAGGCTGGTCTCAGCAGTAGCTCCCAGGGGTCCCTAAGGCTGGGAAGGCAGCTCCTGGCCTCGGAGCCCTGCCAGGAACACTGTGCAGTCTCCCAAATCCTCCAGCTGCTGCTCAGCCCCCAACCACTCTCTCCTCTGATCTCCCTCAGCCCCCGGCAGCCCCAGCTATCAGACCACAGTCTCCTCCACAGGTGACAGCGAACCTCGCCCTCTCCCTTTCAGAACGGAAACCTTCAGCCCGCTACAGACAACTTCCAAGGTCCAGGACAGGAGTGATTCCTATTTTTGCTGACGCATGAACTTAAACCACCAGCCAGGAGGCCGCTGCGGAGGAGAGCCCTTAACTGGTGAACCTCCAGGACAGCACCTGATGGCCAGACCTGAGGTTCTCTGCTCACCGCTCACCCAGTAGTCCTCACAAATCACTCACGGCAGAACTTCACTTCTGTTAGAAATGACCCACTGTTTTTAATTTAGTCCTCCAGCTACAGAACCATTAAGAATCTGTAAGACTTATCTAAACTGAGGTGAAACCCTGCTGTATTTAGTAGGCCGCCATGGTATTCCTGGGCCTAGGAATCACTGAAGGCGTCAGGCCTTCTTTGTAAAGGCCAAGGCTCCTAGATCTCTCCATTTGAAGCCCTTCTGCAGCCACGTCCCAAGCTGGAGGTAGACCCAGACCGCACGTCTGCCTCCCACTGATGCAGGAACCAGGATGGAATGGGGAGGGGGGTGCGGAGAGCTGGATTCCTTCCTATTGGCCTGGAATAGGCAACATTCACTCTTTTTTTCTTCCCTGTTCATCAGGGTGTAAGGCCAGTTTACAGAAAATACACAGACTCTAAGCAGGAAGAGCTAAATTTAAATTGCAGGCCACCACATTCAAACTGTAAAAGAGAGAGGCTGTGAGCCTGGGCCACTTCACAGGGCAGCTGTGAGGAAGCCTTTTTGTCACCAGACTTACACACCTGGCAGCACGCAGCTTGTTTTCAAGCAGCACCTTTCCAGCCAGACCAGACCACAATGAGGGAAGAATAGAACCATAGGTGATTTGGGTCCCCAGAGCCCCAGGGAAGCACCACCTGGGGGTGAGGGATGGATCCCCTCAATGGGTCCCTTCATGCAACCCCCACCCCACTCCCAAAGGGCCCCCACGCTCCTCTGAGGCTCTGCTGTGGCCACAAGGCCTCCTCCCTTCACTCACCTGGTCCCATGCTGGGCAGGGTGTCCCTGGGCGGGGAGGTTGGTGACTCCCCACCTGAAGATTCTTCCTCCTGTTTAACCGAAGACAGAATGCTGGTGCTGGCTGGGGGCCCTGTGAGAGAGAGTCCCGTGAGGGCCTTTCCCAACAGCGGGTCCTGCCCAGAGACACAGCCACTCTCTAGCAGGCCCTGGATAGGCTCAAGCGCCTGTCCGCGAGGAAGAGGGAGCATGGGGTTCTGTCCAAGGACTACTGGTGCCTAACGCACAGCCTCTGCCTCAGAGAGGGGAGGAGATGGGTGAAGGCCACACTGCCATCCCCATGTGGGTGGTGCTAACAATTGGCCCCTCAGCATCTGGGTGTCACCCTGAAGGGCCTCAAAAGGACAGGGTGCTTGGGGAGGCCCAGGGCACAGCGCCAGGTCTGCAACAGAGCAGGGACAACGAGAAGGACCTCTTATAGGATGGACACAGGGAAGGGAGGGGTGTCACCGCAACTGCAGAGGCCCATGTTCAGTGGGGGAGGTGCACAGAAATAACTGGAGAGAAAGCAACCCAGAGACTGAAGGGTCAGGTCGGCAAGAGGGGGAAGCCACGCCAGCAAAGTGCAGCCTAGAGACAGAAAACGAGGCTCTGCGTTATCTACCAAATGCTATGCTAAATGCCCTCTGAGTTATAGGATAGGCAGAAATGTCCCTTAAACAAAAGCAGACAGAGAACACTGGAAGCAGTGACTGAAGCCACAGGGCCCTCGTCCCCAGAGGAATACACATGCTGGCACATGCCAGCCGCACAACACACACTGCCCGTTAACGCAACCGTCCTAAGAACCCTGAGAAGGCCCATACCCACCTCCTGTGCCTGTCCCCTCACTCCAGCCAGACACATATGAGGAACCCACACCTTTGCTCAGACTGTCTCTTCCTGCTGAAAATATCCTATGTTCCCAGCAAAATCTACCTCTAAGGCCTGTCTCAGTGGTCCCTTTCCAGGAAGCCTGTGAGCCCAGCCCAGCCCCCAGCCATCTCTCTCACACTCCAGCTTCAGCGCTTACTCTCAGCACCACACGCCTGGTACTGCTGCTGGGACACTGTCCACATGGCTGCGTGGCGGCCCTCACTCACCGGTGCTTGTTCCAGGAGGGGCTACTCTTGTTTCCAGGTCTTGCTGCTGCTTGCAGACCTGACCATCTTTTGGTTCCTCCTGGGCAGGGCTGACGGGGATGGCGATGTGCTCTGGATGAGGAGGAAGACCTGGGAAAGGCAAATCAGTGACACTGAGGAAAACACAGAGGTCCCCAGGTGGCCAGGAGCCTCTGGGGAATGGCTAAATGCAGTCACCTGGGGCACCAGGTCAAATAAAGGGAATGAAAATTAAGTGGACTTTGCTGATCATCTAGTGACTAAAGTCTAGACTAAAGCTTCCAGGTCTGAGAAAAGGAAACAGTATATAGAGCATGGTAAGTTATCTGATAGCACCAGACAGGTCATGACACAGCAGGACCAAGGAGCTGGCTTTTTAGGGACTCCCAGCTCAGAACAGTACAAGGGTAGCTCCCAATCCCAAGTCCTCCAACAGGCTGATGTATAAAGATCCCCTGGGGGGCACCCCCCTCAAGGTTCTTATCAGTAGCTCTGGGTGGGCCTAGGAAGTACACATTTTTAAACAGCTTCCCAGGGAAAAAGACATGAATATTTCCCAGAATAAAAAACTAGAATGGCTCATAAACAAATAAAAGATACTCAACCATACTCATAATGAGAGGTACCATTAAAATGACACTTACCATAGCCAGACACTACAAGAAAACTACAGACCAATATCCCTTATGAACACGGATGCAAAAATCCTCAACAAAATACTAGCCAGCTGAAGTCAGCAGCATATGAAAAAGATTAAACCCCATGACCAAGTGGAATTTATTCCTGGAATGCAAGGATAGTTCAACATATGAAACTAGATCAACAGAATACACTGAGGGGGGGAAAAACCCACATGATCATCTTGGTTGATGCACAAAAAGCATTTGACAAAATTCAACATCCTTTCATGAAAAAAACCACTCAACAAACTAAGGCTAGAAGGAAACTACTTCAATATAACAAAGCCTTAATAAGGAAGGAAATTCTGATATATGCTACAACAGACATAAGCCTTGATGACACTATGCTGAGATAAGCCTGTCAGTCACAAAAAAGACAAATATTGTATGATTTCACTTATATGAGGTCCTTAGAGCACTCAAAATAATAGAAACATAAAGTAGAACTGTGGTTGCCAGGGGCTGGGAAAGGGGGCAAAATGGGGGAGGTTACTGTTTGATTGATATAGAATTTCAGTTTGACAAGTAAATGAAAAGAGCTATGAAGATGGATGTGGTGATGGCTGCATAACATTATGAATGTATTTAATACCAATAAGCTGTAACTTAAAAATAGTGAGGATGGTAAATTTTATGTTATATGTATTTGACTACAGCTAGAAAAAACAGTAATACTAATTAATACACAGTATAACAGAGAAGAACTTTGAAAATATTGTGCCAAGTGAAAGAAGACACAAAAAGCCACATATGATTCCATTTATGTGAAATGTCCAGAATAGGCAAATCTATAGAGTCAGAAAGCAGATCTGTTGTTGCTTAGTGCAGGGGGGTTGGGAGGGGGTTTGGGGCGACAAATGAAAGATACAGGGCTTGTTTTTGAGGTGATGAAAATGTTATAAAACTGACCATGGTGTTGGTTGCACTTACCTATAAATATGCTAGAAACCACTGAATTGTATACTTTAAATGAGTGAATTGTGTGGTATATGAATTACATCTCATAAAGCTATTTTTTTAACTACACTGAAATACTTCTTTTTAAAATTATTTTATTTATTTCTTTGTTTATTTTTAATTTTTTTTTTTGTAGGGGAAGGTCTATTTATTTACTTATTTTTAGAGGAGGTACCAGGGGTTGAACCTAGGACCTCATGCATGCTAAGCATGTGCTCTATCACTTGAGGTATACCCTCCCAGTCTACTGAAATACTTCTTATCTACTAAGCAGACCAAAATCCTTCAAGTCTGAACATGTTCTCTGGTGGCAAGGCTGTGGGGAAAGAGGCCTTCTTTCACAATGCTGATGGGAGCGTAAATGATACAGCCACCATGAAGGGGAATCTGGTGATAAATTCTTGAAAAATTACATATTCATTCACCTTTGACCTAGCAGTCCAGCTTCTAAGACTCTAGCCCAAAAATACACTGGCAAAAATATGAACTGAGTTATGCACAAAATATTCCCTACAGAATTATTTATATCAGCAGAATACTGGCTATTCCCCAAATAATCCATCAGTGGTGACTGGTTAAATAAAGAATGGTATATCACAGCATAGAACATGCCACACTCTCGGAAGAAATGAGGAAGATCTCTATATATAGTGCTGTGAAGTATCTCCAAGACACATAGTATGGGGGAATACAAAGGTATCTATGTGCTACTGATATTTTCAAATGGAAACATTGGAAATATAAACGAGAAAGAAATAAAAATAGTTATCTACAGGGAGAGGGTGGGGACAAGGACAGAAATGAGACTTCGCTGAATGTAACCTGTTAAATCATTCTGACTTTGTAAACATGGCTTATATGTTCAAAAAGTTAAACTACATAAAAGAGTAAAAAGAGCCGACCCTAAAAATCTAAAAATAAGCAGAAACAAATAAACTTAACTGTATATCAAGTTGGTGGCTGGCATAACCACATGGAGAAAATAATTACTCCAAGTGACTTTAAAAGGCATTATTTTGTCTATTAAGTCCTGAATGAAATGCATTCAGATGACAAAAATAGCTGCAATGAAATCTCAAATTTCAATTAAAAATGTAACTGTTAGTAATATTGACTCAACTATTTCAAATTATTTCAAGATGTAAGATATTATAGGATAATGAAATATTAGGATTTGGGTATAAGATAATGTAGATGAGTAATTATGCTAATATAGTTAGGAATTTAAGATTTCCATGTAAAAGTGACATACAACTATAAAATAAAAGAACATTAAGTTGGAATTAGAAATATCATATGAACTCATGGTTTTTTCTTCTCAAAAATACACATTTTCTTAAAAGGCCTAGAAGTAATACCAAAAATTAGCAATTACTGGCACTCACACTGTAGTCTCTGAATATCATTCCTCAATGAAAGAAATCAAAAATCCTTGGAGAAACTCTTATTCCAGATCTGGGGAAGGAAATACACAAGATGAACCTAGAACATCTTATGGTGTCTGAACACCATCGAAGTCACATCAAAATGACCTATAGGTCAACTTGAAGGGGTTCCCAAGAGCTAAAAATGGGACAGTTTAAGTATGAAAATAATGGCTGCAAGAACCGCCTGTATGAAATATTCAACAATCTGTGAAATCATAGTAGGAATAAAAAAGAAAAGACAAGCCCAAGTATCAGTCACCTCTGGAGGCTTCTAAAGCAGCAGCCCTTCATTCTGAAAACTAATGAAGGGAAAGAATTACGCATCTATCTTGCCTTTTCTGTACAGAGTGTATTTCAAAGGAACTGAAAGAGCTGATTAGGGAAATTATTGTTTATAACATAACTTCAGCTATTAAATATAGAAGTAATGACAGAATTTCATCATTTTGCAACCCCTAATAAAATAATGAATCTGGGTAACAATTCAATGGCTATTAAAATCATTAGGTGGAAAGTTGATGAGGAAATTTATGATAGAAGGATAAGGCTGACAGTCACAAAAAGGCAATCGGGTTAAGACTGAAACCAGAAGACTCCTAGCAGAAAACAAAGGCGGTAAGCTCCTTGACATCAATCTCAGCAATGGTTTTTGGATTTGACACCAAAAGCAAAAATAAACAAGGGGGAATACATCAAACTAAAAAGCATCTGCACAGCAAAGGAAATCATCAACAAAATGAAAAGGCAACCTACTGAATGCGAGGAAATACTTGCAAATCATGTATCTGATAAGGGGGTAACATCCCCTTATACAACATCCCCATTATACAACTCAATAGCAAAAAAAAAAAAAATCCAATTTAAAAAATGGGCAGAAGATCTGAATAGACATTTTTCCAAAGAAGACACACAGATGGCCAACAGGCACGTGGAAAGATACTCAACATCACAAATCATCAGGGAAGTGCAAATCAAAACCACAGTAAGACATCACCTCACACCTGTTAGAATGTGTGACAAGAAATAACAAGGATGTGGAGAAAAGGGAACCCTCATGCCCGGAGGTGGGAATGTAAATTGGTGCAGCCACAATGGAAAACAGTATAGGAGTTCCTCAAAAAATTAAAAATAGAACTAACATATGATCCAGCAATCCCACGTCTGGGTATTTTTCCAAAGAAAATAAAAACACTAACTCAAAAAGATATCTGCACCCTGATGTTCACTGCAGCATAATTTACAAAAGCCAAGATACAGAAACAACTTGAATGTCCACTGATAGATGAATGGATAAAGAAAATGTGGTGTTTATACGTATGATGGAATATTCTTCAGCCATTAAAAATATGAAATCTTGTCATTTGCAATAACCATGAGGACATTAAGCTAAATGAAATATGTCAGAGAAAGACAAGTACCATATGATCTCACCTTAACAAGTGGAATCTATTAAAAACAAACAAAAACGAGATCATAGATGCAGAGAACAAACTGGTGGTCGCCAGAGGTGAGAGGTGGAGGTAGGTGAAATGGGTGAAGAGGGTCAAAAGATACAAACTTCCACTTATAAAATAAATAAGTCATGGGAGTGTAATGTACAGAATGTGACTATAGCTAATAATACTGTATTGCATATCTGAAAGTTACTAAGAAAGGAAATCTTAAAAGTTCTCATCACAAGAAAATAATTCTGTAACTGTATGGTGATGGATGTTAACTAGACTTATTGTGTGGCCACTCTGCCATCTTGCTGCCACTCACCAGCACCTGGCCTCCTCGGACGTGCTTCCTCTCTCTCATTTCCCTCCTCCTGGCCCCATGGGCCTTCAGGACAAGGCTCCTCTCCCCTCTCCATCCGGGTGAGGATGTCTGGTTTGGAGATGGCATAATCTACGTACAGAAAAGAGAGCTGGGTCAACTCCAGCCACCTGCCCAGAGAGACACAGACATACCAAGAGGAACAGAATCCAGAGCAAAGACACAGACCACAGGAGGCCAATTCGCAGACAGGAGCCTTACCCAGGGAGACCAGCATCTCGTAGTTGCCCCGCATCACATGCTTGTACAGCTCCTTCTGCCACTCATCCAGCTTCCCCCACTCCGGCTCAGAGAAATACACGGCCACATCATCAAAGGTCACTGGCACCTGGAACCACAGGGTCATGCAAGCTCACCCACTCGCTTAAAGGCGCGGCCTCAGGCTGTCCCACCCCAGGTGCCTTGGGGTTACCTTGGGGGCCTCCCCCTTGCTGCCCGGGGGCAGCCGCAGGATCCAGAAGTTCCTGTTCCGCAGCAGGTTCTCCATGTTCTCCAGCCGCCTTTGCAGCAGCCCGTACTCCTGCAGCAGGGTGCCCAGCACGGCCCACTTGCCCTCCAGCTGGTTCCCGAACTCCACGGCCGTCTTCTCGCAGTCGGCCAGCTTCTTCTCGGTTGTCCCCGTCCGCCCCTCCAAAGTCAGCAAACGGGCCAGGCAGGAATCCACCTTTTTCTCCAAGGCCTGGATGGCGGCCACCACCGTCCACAGCGTGATCTCCGTGGAGTAGAGGTATGAGTTCTTCTCGGCAGTCGGCTGCGGGGATGGGGAAGGCGTCGAAGGTCTTTCGCCCCCTGCTTGCTTGTCCCTCTCAGGAGCCTGGCCACAGGAGAAAGGAGAGAGGTTATCAGAATTACAGTCAAAATGTCCACCTCAAAACGAAACCTGAGAATGGCACCTGCCCAGGTGAAGCCCCATCTTTGATTCTGAGGACCAGTCAGGCAGCCGTGGAGGGGAGGACATCTAGCCTCAAGCACAGAGACACTGGCTGGACCAAGACGTTAGCAAGTGGGAAACAGGAGGAAAAACATGGCCAAAGATGGAAAGTGTCTGTGGTCTCACAGATGACCTCCCTTCCTAGGCCTCTGCCTCTGCCTCTGAAATCCCGAGAACATGAGCTCTGCAGTCACACAGCCCGAGAGCAACTAGCAACCCCTCAACTCACGAGCTGGCTAACTTCAGTGAGGTTTGTTAAACATTTCAACTTCAATCCCACATCTAGAAAATGGGGGCAACAACAGTACCTACATGATAGGATGTGAGAATTAATGACACAATCTTTGTACACAGCACTTAACACGATGCCCAGCGCGTGGCAAATACCCAATACCCGTGAGCCCTATGTTGTTACAGCTCAGATGATAATGATGAGGATGCTAATGATGGTGATGGTTCTGGCTCAGAGATGCAGTAGTTCATATGGCCTTTCTTCTCCATCTCTTTCATTACACTGTCCTTCAGCATCTTGGAAAAGAGCTTGTGACGTCCTCAGCTTACCTTGGTGCCTGACAACAAAGCCTCAGTCCCAGTCCATCTTGCTAGAAGCCTTGCTGGAAAGATGAATTAATATTTCATCCCCTCACTGCTCTTATTCTCATGGTCAAATCACCATCAACTCCTATCTGTGGACTTCTGATACTTTCTCAAATCCATCCTCTTTCCTCCTTCTCCACTGCTGTCACTGGTCCAAGTCCCAGTCACCTTTCCCTTGAACCACTGCCACTCTGCCTAGTCAGTTTCTCCAGTTCACCCTACTCCTCTCCTCCCTCCTCACTCCCACAGTACACCTTCCACAGGGTGGTCAGTAACCTTTTAAATACACAGACTAGATCATGTTAGTCTTCTCCTTAAAACGCTTTGATAGCTTCCTAGTGTGCCCAGAATAAAATCTGAATGACTAATCGTATCCCAGCCTACCTCCCTGACCTTATATTCTTCTGGGTGTTAACCTCCTTGGATTCCTATGATGCACCCAGCTCTCTCCTCTATCTTTTTTTTAAGTTGGGGGAGGTAATTAGGTTTTGTTTTTTTTTGTATGGAGTTACTGGAGATTGAACCCAGGGCCTCCTGCAAGCTAAGCATGTGCTCTACCGCTGAGCTATACCCTTCCCCCTCCTCTACCTCTGTGTTAGCTCTTCCTGCACCTCTCTGTATGCTTGGCTCCCTGTCATAGAAGGCTCCAGCTTAACCATTGCCTCATGGAGACTTTCACTGGCTGACACATCTAAAATAGGCCCCCTGCCAGTCCCTTCCCTCACAGCACTAGTAATCTATGATCGTGCTATGTGTCTGCCTATGTTATGGTTTGTTTCTGCTACAAGAACATAAGCTCCATGATGGTATGTGTTATTCGCTGTTGCATTCCCAGCTTCTGAAAGAACCCCCCACTCACAGCAGATGCTCAATAAGTACCTATTGAATGAATGACTCAACAATTAAACAACATATTCATTCAAGGACAATTGCTGAACAGCTATTATAGTAAAGGCACAATGCAGATACAGAAAAAATTTTGTGGTTCTTCCTTCTCTTGGAGAAAAATTACGTACGGTAATACTCATAATAAATAAGTGTGATACCAAGGGCTAACAAAAGTTGAGGGCATATCTGTCCTGTTTGCAGAGCTTCTTGGGAGCTCACGTGCTGCAGGCCAGCAGAGGGCAAGGAGCAACTGGACAAGAATGGTCAGAAAGAGTGCTGAGAAAGGGGTCCTGGGCCAAGATGTCAGGTGTACCCCTACAGAAAGGCCTTCCTGGGGGCTTCCCCCAGGGAGCAAGGCCATAAACCCCAAGAACTCCCACCCTCTTTTTTTCCCTTGCACTCAGAGAACCTAAAAAAGGCACACACCAAACTGGCTAATTAAAGAAGAGAGAGAAGTTCCTCCTTAAAAAGCATCCAGAAAAATCAAAGCTTCAAAAACTTTATTACATGTATTACATATATTATAGTCGATACCATTTATTGAGCTTTTTACAAATGTTCTTCCAGTATGTCAAAAAAAGGCCAAAAGATTTTCTCCAAATTGGACATATTGCACATTATCAGGTAACATTCTAAGAAATCTATCAAACTAGTCTTTTAAAAAACAAAAAACAAACACCTACAAACCCTCCAGTAAACATCTTCTCTTAGGTAAAAATAGAATACTTAGGTACTTTAAAGTGGCTGTAATTCCAGAGTCCTGGCCTGGGCGTCAGGCTCTGGCCTCGACTAGATGGGCGACCCTGGACCGGTCGCCACCCAGAGCCTCAGACTTCGGTTGTGAGAACCGAACGGGGCCGGCGCCCCAGCCCTCCCCGCCGGCCTCCGGGGCCGCCGGACCTCCAGCGAGACAATGGACGGGGGTACCAGGTACTTGGTTCAAATGCGAGGGCTTGTCATTCTTAAGTGTGACTAG